CTGGCGACAGAGTGAGACTCGTCTCAAAAAAAAAAAATAAAAATTAAAAATAGAGCCTGGGCCCGGTGGCTCAAGCATATAACCCCAGCACTTTGAGTGGCTGAGGTAGGCAGATCAGGAGTTTGAGACAACCTTAGCTGGGTGTGGTGGCACAGACCTGTAGTCCCAGCTTCTTGGGAGACTGAGATGGGAGGATCAATTGAGCCCAGGAGGTTGAGGCGGCAGTGAGCCAAGATGTTACCACTGCACTGTAGCGTGTTGGGGGTGTGGAACTTTAATTTTTTGATCTTAAATAGTGGGAACTCCATAGTTACTCTTAAATTTTTTTTTGAGACAGAGTCTTGCTCTGTTGCCCAGGCTGGAGGACTGGTACAGTCTCGGCTCACTGCAACCTCTGTCTTCTGGGTTCAACTGATTCTCCTGTCTCAGCATTCCAAGTAGCTGGGATTACAGGCATGTGCCACCACACCTGGCTAATTTTTATATTTTTAGTAAAGACAGGGTTTCGCTGCATTGGCCAGGCTAGTCTCAAACTCCTGACCTCAGGTGATCTACCCTGCTTGGCCTCCCAGCGTGCTGGGATTAGAGGCCACTACTGTAATGAGTCTACAAGTAGAGGCTTAAAGGTGTGAAAGTGATCATAACAAAACTAAGAATAAAAATGTGATTGGCAGGGTTTGGCGACAGGAGGATAATTTTTAGTTTTTTATTTATAATTTTTTTTAGGGTCTTGTCTTGCTCTGTTGTCCAAGCTGAAGTGCAGTGGCATGATCATAGGTCATTACAGCCTCGACCTCCTGGGCTCAAGTGATCCCCTCAAATAGCTGGGACTACAGTGCACACCACCACACCTGGCTAACTTTAAAAATTTTTTGGGGAAATGTGGGGGATCTCACCGTGCTGCCCAGGCTGGTCTTGAACTCCTGGAGTCAGGCTTTCTGCCTCTCGGCTGCCCAAAGGCTGGGATTATAAGTATGATTCCTCCACACCTGGCCTAAGAGTGATTGAAATGCCCTAAACTCATTGTTCCTAGACAGATAATGTTTATAATTGTTAGATCAAGAACTCGAGGTTCAAAGCATACTTAGCTTTTTTTTTTTTTTCAATTTTAATTTTTTTTTTTAATTAAGATGGGGTTTCACCATGTTGGTTGGGCTGGTCTTGAACTCCCGACCTCAGGTGATGCGCCTGCCTTGGCCTGCAAAGTGCTTGGATTACAGGCCTGAGCCACCACGCCCAGCCTACTTAGCTGTTTTTATTTTGTATTTTATACCTTTATAGTATTAGAATGGTTTGTCTTATTTTTTTTTTCGTTTTTGAGACAGAATCTCAAACTCCTGACTTCAGGTGATCTGCCCACCTCGGTCTCCCAAAGTGCCACAGGCCTGGCCCCAGAGTGGTTTTTCTTAGTAAATATTCTTTTTATATTCCTGTCTCCAACCCTCAAGAAACCTCCAAAAACAAAAGAAAAACTAGGTGGAATTCTATACTGAATGCTGAAGAAAGCTTGTTTCTAGAAAGAAAAATTGATGAAATTATCTTTTATACATAATATCAGATTTGAGGTGAGGCTTAAGCTACCCCTTCTGAGTTTCTGAAACTTGAAAGAAAGAGTGAGGAGAAATAGGGTTACTAGGAGGATCATAGAGACTGGCTTTACTGCCCATACTCATGAAGGTTTTTCAGTTCTGTAAACCATTTGCGGTGGCTTTTTTTTTTTTCTTTTTCTTTTTTTATTCTTTTTTGTTGTTATATTTGTTTTGTTTTGTTTGAGATTGAATTCCCACCTACTGCATCTGGAAGCAGTGTTTCTTTGTGTTGGTGTTTACTCTTTTGTCTTCCCAGGCTTGAGACAGAAAAGGCTTCTTCTGCATGTGAAAACTCTTTACTTTTGTATCTTAAAAAAACTGCTTTTTCTAGTAGTTTTGAAAATTTACTCAGTCTCAATATGTTATGTGAATGGAACTAACAGTTGAAGAAAATACATTTTAGGAAATTAAATTCCATCTGACCTCTGCCTGTCTTTTATTATGAAGGTGAAAAACTGAAATATGTACCAGTATGGTAGAGGACATGTTAATGGCTGCTCATGTAATCTCTCCTTTGTCCCCTTAGAGCAGAAGGATGTATGTGATTAAATATTAGAGTCTCATAACTTTGTAATGTTACCGGGTTTTTATAATGAAAGATGCCTCTCTTTTTTTTTTTTTTTTTTTTTTGAGATGGAGTCTCACTCTGGCACCCAAGCTGGAGTACAGTGGCATGATATCGGCTTACTGCAACCTCTGCCTCCTGGGCTCAAGCGATTCTTCCGCCAACATGGCCTCCCGAGTAACTGGGATTACAGATACCTGCTGCCATTCCTGGCTGATTTTTCTGTTTTTAGTAGAGACAGGGTTTCACCATGTTGGCCAGGCTGGTCTCCAACTCCTGACCTCAGGTGACCCGCCTGCCTCGGCCTCCCAAAGTGCTGGGATTACAGGCATGAGCCACCGCACCTGGCCGAAAGATGCCTTCTTAAGGAAATCCGTACTGTGATGCTGTTAGCAAAGGGAAGCTTTGATACAGTCTGTGCAAGTGTGGCAAATGAGTGCTCTCAGATCACCTATGCTAAGTAGCCTTCTTTGAATCTGTAGTTAGGCAAAGTGTGCTTGGCCTGATGCTCTCCTTATGAGTGCCGTGGACATCATTGATAACTTAATTTTTATTTGTTAATTTTTTACAGGTGAAGGTCTTTTTAGGTTTCCCAGCCCAAAGACCTGGGCTCAAATAGTCCTCCCACTTCAGCCTCCTGAGTACCTGAGATTACATGTGTGCACCACTGTGACCAGCTTATAGTTTAATGTTGTTGAGACAGAGTCATACTCTGTTGCCTAGGCTGGAGTTCATTGGAGTGATGTTGGTTCACTGCAGCCTCGATGTCTGGGCTCAAGCAATCCTTCCACCTCGGCCTCCCTAGTAGCTCGGACTACAGGTGCATAGCACCACACCCAGTTAATTTTTGTATTTTTTTGCAGAGATGGGGTTTTACCTTGTTGCCCAGGCTGAGGTAGAAGGACTGCTTGAGCCCGTGGAGCTATGGACATTACAGAAACAATCCAGTGGCTCACGCCTATTATCCCAGCACTTTGGGAGGCCAAGGTGAGCAGATCACCTGAAGTCAGGAGTTCGAGACCAGCCTGGCCAACATGGTGAAACTCTATCTCTGCTAAAAATACATAAATTAGCTGGGCATGGTGGTGGGTGCTTGTAGTCCCAGCTACTTGGGAGACTGAGGCAGGAGAATTGCTTGAACCTGGGAGGTGGAGGCTGCAGTGAGCCAAGATTGCGCCACTGCACTCCAGCCTGGGCTACAGTGAGACTCCATCTCAAAAAAAAGAATAGGCCAGGGTGGTGGCTCACGTGTATAATCCCAGCACTTTGGGAGGCTGAGGCAGGTGGATCACGAGGTCAGGAGTTCGAGACTAGCCTGGCCAACATAAGTGAAACCCTGTCTCTACTGAAAATACAAAAATTAGCTGGGTGTGGTGGTATGCTCCTGTAGTCCCAGCTACTTGGGAGGTTGAGGCCTAGGAATCGCCTGTACACAGGAGGTGGAGGTTGCAGTGAGCGGAGACCATGCAATTGTACTCCAGGCTAGGTGACAAAATGAGACTCTGTCTTGATAAAAAGTTATAATTCTTCCTGTTCTACATTGAATTTCAAATGCAACAGGTGTCTATAAAGCAATTACCATGGGTGAGCTATTCGGAGAGAACCAGGACATAGTCTTGTCTGCCAAGAATTTAGATCCTAGGTAGAAGAAAGGAGATGGTTACCCACACATTTTATATCTGTAACATAAGGTAGAGCATCTGGGCAGTTTAGTATATCTTGCCTGATTGCTCAAGGGAACAAATGCAGACATTCAGAATTGTCTGAGAGTTCTTTTTGGCAAAAATTTTAACTAGTTTTTGTTACTCTTTCATCCTGCTACTTTTGTTCTGGAGGTTGGGCTGATCAAGGGAGGATGGTATAAAGGTAGCAGCAACAGGGGTCAGCAGTCCATAGATTGCACACTTGTCCCTCAAGTAATGAGTGTTAACTGTCTACGTCTGCAGCTTGATTTTTAAAGCAAATAAATACCTGATAAAAACTTGTAGATTTTATTTCTTAATTTTGGTAGTGACCTGGATATTTAAAGCACTATTTACCTTTTTTCCCTCAAGTTATTTTAATATTAATTACATTTATGTAATGCTATCTATGTGTCAGGTGATTTTCTAAGTACTCTATTTAATCCTCATGTCACCTGTGAGGTAAGTGCTATTGTATCCCCATTTTACTGACAAGAAAACTAAGGTTAGTTGACTTTTCTAGAGTTACGTAATTAAGGAGACATAAAGTTGGGATTTGAACCCAGGTGGTCCGGCTTCGGAGTCTATGCTCTTAACCAGTAAGCTGTGCTGCAAAAGAATTTGAGCATTATATGGCAAATAGGATTTTTGTATTTTTTTCATGGGAGATGAAGAACATATCCTCTGCCTCTTGTGTCTTGCCACAACTAGGTGGCATACTTATCTTTGCTGTAGGAAATACTTGGAAATAAAACATATCAATAGGAATCCCTGCTCCTAGCTTCTTCCTCCTTGCTTGGTGTCCTCTCTGTGATGGTCACAGAGCAGTTTTGCATGTGACATTTACTGTCCAGTGTTGGCTCTGTGGAAAAGATGGAATTGGGCTACTGCTGGGTGGGAAGTGTGTTTTCAGCCTGTTTCATCCAGTACTGTGAAGCCTGTGTTTGTTCTGTTTTCATTGTGATAGTTTGATTTAAGAAATGTTAATGGTAGTTTTCAAACATCCATTAACTGAAAAAATAAGGTGGTATAATAAAACTTTATTTTTTGATTCTATATGTATACAGCTGCCCTGAATATATTCGTCTCTTGTGCAAGGGTGATTGCTTCTGGGCATTTCCTGCTAAAAACAATAATGTAATTTTGACTTCTGTTTATTTCTAGGAACCCTAAGGACTCTGCAATATGAATAATTCCCTGGAGAACACCATCTCCTTTGAAGAGTATATCCGAGTAAAGGCACGGTCTGTCCCGCAACACAGGATGAAGGAATTTCTGGACTCACTGGCTTCTAAGGGGCCAGAAGCCCTGCAGGAGTTCCAGCAGACAGCCACCACTACCATGGTGTACCAACAGGGTGCGAACTGCATATACACAGACAGCACCGAAGTGGCTGGGTCTTTGCTTGAACTTGCCTGTCCAGTCACCACCAGTGTTCAGCCACAAACCCAGCAAGAACAGCAGATCCAGGTTCAGCAGCCACAACAGGTTCAGGTATATGGGAAATGCCTGTTTAATGTACTTTATTTGCTCTCAGTGTTTTATTTAGCGGGATCATCACATCTATGTGGATGTCGCAGGTTATTTTCTCTAAGGGGGACTCTTTGAAACTTTTTATTTAACACTAAGATTTTCAAAGTTAGTGTGGACTGAAAATTTTTTCTTTTCTTTCCTTTTTCTTCAAGTTTTTTTTTTTTTTTTTTTTTTTTTTTTTTAAAAAAAAATAATATTAAAGTTTTAATTTGAACAGACTGCAGCCAGGGAGCTGCTTAGCTACCTTAGCTACCCAACCCAGAAGCAGGTCGTCTATGAATGGTTTGGCGCCAGGCTCAACATGCCTTGCCTGATGAGCTAGGGATAGCCACCTTTCCTGCAGCACCCCTTTTCCCAGGATCAGGGGCTCTCTGCACTGGAACCTGGTTTCAGCACATGACCCTACTGGCAGTGATGTCATTGATGGTGGGGGACTGGCTTTCCGAGGCCAGTCAACACTCTGTGGTGCTGCCATGTCATTGTACCTGGGTGGTTGTTTGTTTGTTTGTTTGTTTGTTTTTGAGATGGAGTTTCGCATTGTTGCCCTGGCTGGATTGTCCTGCACCAGGCTTCTGAGTAGCTGGAATTCTAGGTGTCTGCCACCATGACTGGCTAATTTTTTATATTTTTTTTCCTTTTTGAGACGGAGTCTCACCCTGTCACCAGGCTGGAGTGCAGTGGTGTGATCTCTGCTCACTGCAACCCCTACCTCCCAGGTTCAAGTGATTCTTCTGCCTCAGCCTCCGGAGTAGCTGGGACTATAGGCACACGCCATTATGCCCAGCTGATTTTTGTATGTTTAGTAGAGACAGGGTTTCACCATTTTGGCCAGGATGGTCTTGATCTCCTGACCTCGTGATCTGTCCGCCTCAGCCTCCCAAAATGCTGGAATTACAGTTGTGAGCCACTGTGCCCGACCAGTTTTTTGTATTTTTAGTAGATCTACCTGCCTCGTCTTCCCAAAGTTCTGAGATTATAGGTGTGAGCCACCATACCCAGCCATACCTGGGTTTTTTGTTTTTTGTTTTTGTTTTTTTGAGACAGTCTCACTCCGTCACCCAAACTTGAATGCAGTGGTGTGATCTTGGCTCATTGCAACCTCCAGCCCCCAAGTTCAAGCCATTCTCATGCCTCAGCCTCCTGAGTAGCTGAGACTACAGGTGTACACCTCTACCCCTGGCTAATTTTTTTGAATTTTTAGTAGAGACTGGGTTTCCCCGTATTGGCCTTGAGCTCCTGACCTCAAGAGATCTGCCTGCCTCAGCCTCCCAAAGTGCTGGTATTATAGGTGTGAGCCACCAGGCCCAGCCTTTTTTTTTTTTTAAGACAGGGTCTTGCCCTGTCACCCAGGCTGGAGTACAGTGGCATGATCACTCCTCACTGCAGCTTTGACCTCCCAGGCTCAAGCGATTGTCCAGCCTCATCCTCTCAAGTGGCTGGGACTGTAGGCATGCACCACCACCATGTTCAGCTAATTTAAAAAAAAAAAAAATTTTTTTTTTTTTTTTTTTTTTTTTTTTTTTGTAGAGATGAGGGCATCTTTCTGTGTTGCCCAGGCTAGTCTTAAACTCCTGGCCTCAAGGTATTCTCCTGGGTTGGCCTCCCAAAGGGCTGAGATTACAAATATGAGCTACTATGCCTGGCCTTAAAATATTTTCAAGATTACTGTAAACTAAAAAGACTAGAGATATTTGATTTTTGCTTTGGAGAGTTGAATAGTTTAGAAATTAGAGATCTTTTGGTTCATGTGACTGAGGCTTCCTTTCTATTTGTGTCATGCTGAGTAGAGACAGAACACAGGAGGGCTGGTCTTTGCTCATTACTGATAGTGTGACATTTGAAATTAATTTAAAAATGGAAAAGCTGGCCGGGCATGGTGGCTCACGCCTGTAATCCCAGCACTTTGGGAGGCCGAGACAGGCGGATCACCTGAGTTCAAGAGTTCAAAACCAGCCTGACCAACATGGAGAAACCCCATCTCCGCTAAACAAAATTAGCCTGGTGTGGTGGTGTATGCCTATAATTCCAGCTACTTGGGAGGCTGAGGCAGGAGAATTGCTTGAACCCAGAGGTGGAGGTTGCAGTGAGCCAAGATCATGCCATTGCACTCCAGCCTGAGCAACAAGAGTGAAATTCGTCTCAAAAAAAAAAAAAAAAGGCTGGTATATTTTAGTGATCCTCATTAAGTTATATGATTCCATGACTCAGATCACCTGTAGATTTTTAGCTCTGTGTTTGTCATATAGAAGCTATAAAATGACCGAGCACATTCACTCACACCTGTAATCCCAGTACTTTGGGATGCCAAGGCTGGTGGATTGTTGATTGAGCCCAGGAGTTTGAGGCCAGCCTGGGCAACATGGCAAAATCCCATCTCTACAAAAAATAAAAAAAATTACCCAGGCATGGTGGTATGTACTTTTAGTCCCAGCTATTTGGGAAGCTGAGGTGGGAGGATTGCTTGAGCCCGGGAGGTTGAGACCAGCTTGGACAACATGGTGAAACCCTGTCTCTACCAAAAATAGAACAGAATAGCTGGGCATGGTGATGCAGGCCTGTGGTCTTAGCTGCTTGGGAGGCTGAGGTGGGAGAATTGCTTGAGCCTGGGAGGGGGAAGTTGCAGTCAGCTGAGATTGTACCACTGCACTCCAGTCTGGGTGACAGAGTGACATCCTTTCTCAAAAATAAAAATTGTAAGCCACAGAAATATAATCCTAATTGATGAGAAGCTTTATGAAAGAGGAGACACTAGTACATTTGCTGAAAAGGGAAAAATTTTCCCTTTTTTTTTTTTTCTTTGAGGTGCAGTCCCATTGTCACCCAGACTGGAGTGCAGTGGTATGATCTTGGCTCACTGCAACCTCCGCCTCCTGGGTTCAAGTGATTCTCCTGCCTCAGCCTCCTGAGTAAGGGGATTTTAGGCGCCTGCTACCATGCCTGGCTAATTTTTGTTTTTTGTTTTTTTGAGATGGAGTTTTGCTCTTGTTGCCCAGGCTGAAGTACAGTGGCACAATCTTGGCTCACTGCAACCTCTGCCTCCTGGGTTCAAGCGATTCTGCTGTCTTCAGCCTTTGGAGTAGCTGGGATTACACGTATGCACCACCATACCTGGCTACTTTTGTTATTTTAGTAAAGATGGGGTTTCCCCATGTTGGTCAGGTTGGTCTTGAACTCTCAACCTCAGGTGATTCCCCTGCCTCGACCTCACAAAGTGCAATGATGACAGGCTTGAGCCACCACGGCTGGCTGAAGTTTTCCTCTTTCGAGGTCTTTATGTGAGACAACAGGCTTCTCCAGTTGCAAATGGAATTTTCTTGCTACTGTCTATTATGGTTGAATTTTGTTTTATTCTGGATAATTTTTACACTGATAGGAAAGGGACTGGAACATGCTGGAGAGGCAGGAGTATGGAGAGGTGTGCCTGGTGAGACAGAAGTTTTCTTTTCCTTCATTTTTTGTTTTTCTTTTTTAGAGACAGGATCTCACTCTTGCCCAGGCTTGAGTACAGTGGCATGATCATGGCTCACTGCAGCCTCTACCTTTTGGGTTCAAGTGAACCTCCTGCCTCAGCCTCCCGAGTAATTAGGACTACAGGTGCTTGCCACCATGCTCAGCTAATTTTTTCATTTTTGGTAGAGATGGGTTCTCGCCATATTGCTAAGGCTGGTGTTGAACTCTTGATCTCCAGCAATCCTCCTGGCTCAGCCTCTCAAAGTGCTGGGATTATAGGCATGAGTCACTGTTCCCAACTGACATAGGTTTCACTGTAGCCCCTCAGAAATGCAGGTGAATAAATTGGAAGGACGTAGCCTCTGAAGCTTTAATACTGGGTTTAAATTTGAATTTGACCACTTAATTTTTGGCATGAGCTCAATCTTTCATCAGTTAAATAGGGATAATACCATTTAATGAGGCCAAATAAGATAATAGAGAAGAAAGCATCTGGCATATGGAGAGATAATTTTTTTTTTTTTGAGGCAGGGTCTCATTCTGTCACCTAGGTTGGAATGCAGTGGTACAATCTCAGCTCACTGCAACCTCTGCCTCCTAGGCCTAAACCATCCCCCCCCTCAGCCTCCCAAGTAGATAGGACTACCACAGGCATACCACCAATGCCTGGCTAATTTTTTTGTTTTTTGATAGAGATGGAATTTTACCATGTTGCCCAAGCTGAGTTTTTTTTTTTTGGCAGAGGAGTTGTTTAGGCAGAGTCTTGCGTTGTTACCAGGCTGGAGTGCAGTGGCGTGGTCCCAGCTCACTGCAACGTTCACCTCCCAGGTACAAGTGATTCTCTTGCCTCAGCCTCCAGAGTAGAAGGGATTACAGACGTTTGCCACCATGCCCGGCTAATTTTGTATTTTTAGTAGAGATGGGGTTTCCCCATGTTGGTTAGGCTAGTCTCAAACTCCCAACCTCAGGTGATGCGGCTGCCTCGGCCTCCCAAAGTGCTGGGATTACAGGCATGAGCCACTGCATCTGGCCTGATTTTGTACTTTTAGTAGAAATGGGGTTCCACCATGTTGGCCAGGCAGGTCTCGAACTGCTGACCTTAAGTGATCTGCCCACCTCAGCCTCCCAAAATGCTGGGATTATAGGCAAAAGCCTTGTTTTGTCTTTGTAAGGAAGAAAAAGCACAAGAAAGGTAAGAAAGCTGGCCCAGGTATGGTGGGTCAAACCTGTAATCTTAGCACTTTGGGACTTTGGGAGGCTAAGGTAAGTGGATTCCTTGAGCCTAGGAGTTTGATACCAGCCTGGGCAACATATCGAAACCCTGTCTGTATAAAAATTAACCAGGTGCGGTGGCTTGCTCCTGTGGTCCCAGCTACTCAGGAGGCTGAAGTGGGAGGATCAGCTGAACCCGGGAGGTCATGGTTGCAGTGAGCCGTGATTGTGCCACTGCACTCCAGCCTTTTACATCAAGAGGACGGGAAAGGGACTGGAGTGAGACTCTGTCTCAAAAA